TCTCTGGCTTCTGTGCAATTAACTAAGAGAAGGCCTACTTGTGTACGTTGGGGTTGATGTTGTATTTGCAGATTGGAGACGTCTCACCTTTTATGGTTGGCCTCTAGCGTTGTTGCGGGCTTGATGGTGTCTTTGTTTTCCATTTTTGAGCTCCTATTCGTCCTCCGAGAAATGTGATTTCCAAACTGAAAAGCAAATGCGCAGCTACCCTATTCCTTTCCTCAGGGAACATTTTTTATATTTAACATCTACTTCCTCCGTTTCCAAATATAAGTATTTTTGAAGATTTCAATAAGTGATTACATACAAAGCAAAATAAATAAATATACACTCTAAAATATGTCTACATACATTCGTATATTGTAGTCCATTTGAAATGTTTAGAAAGACGTATATTTAGAAACGGAGGGAGTATTTGTTTACAACCATTGGATTTCACTGTTGACCATGGAATAGATGTTTCTTTTCAATTATACAGAGAGAAAAATGCTTATATGGGGTGGCACTCCTCAAAATATGCATATTTTCCTGTAGCGGTGAGCTAATTTCCCAGGCTTACGTCATGTTGGTCAACGCAATCAATCCAATCAAATGGCTCAATATCATGGCCGTGATAAACTAAGGGCAACGCTAACGTGAATCACCTATTAGTCATCATCAATTTTTTTGCGGACACGGGATAAGATGACAGAAGGTTACAAGAAAAGATCTCAAGCTTTCCTCCTTTTCCCGTCGTAGCCGTCTCTGGTCCGTCTCATCTCCTATGGCCTGGAGGTGCAAAGGACCTCAGTCACCCGTCGACGGGATGGACACCTTTCTTGTTCTTGTTAAGTTCAACATCATGGTTGGCACTGTGTGGTGGCAAAGATGTCTCTAAGTAGCAATAATGTCTCCCACATTCTATTCCCCGTCCTGATGGTGCATCTAGAATCGTCAGAGGGCGTGTGGAGGTGTGCCTCCCTCGGATCTCGCGGGATTCAGTCGATGCTGGTCTTCGGTGGCTCTGTTTGGATCTGTTCTTCATTTGTCTTCATTGGATGTTTACAGGTTTGATCATTTTGATCTACGACTTTCTTCATCGGCGATAGTGCTGCTCTGGTGTGTTGGTCCTACGGAGCCTTAGCACGACGACTTTTTGACTGTCTGCTACAACAAGGTTTGCCCGGCTCCAGGAAGGGAGAGGCGATAATGGGGGAGTGCCTTCGGCACGCTCCAGTGCGTGTAGTCGTCGCTAGGTGATCCACGGACCTGGTTGTAATTTTTATTACCTCTGATGTTCTTTGTACTGCCATGATTGAATATGAATAGACTGGAAACTTCTTAAAAAAATCTTTGTGGACACGTTTCGTGTCCATGGACATCCGACCGGACAGATGCCATTCAATTGGGGTCATCAAAATACCCGCCCGGCCTTGTTTGGCCTTCTTTCTTTCACAAAGTTATCTAGATCAATAGCAACTCAACCATACATTTAAATAGTTGTAAAGAACTACAACCAAAAGCAACAGATGTTCAATCCGTTTTTCACATCTACCAATCCGAAAGCCTTCGGTTCAGCTGTCGGTGCCAAAGAACTCAATTTTTTGGCCTCTTTTCACACTCCTTTCGCACAAAGTGTTTGTACATGCTAGCATGGTACTTTTGAACAAACTTCACCACACTGGGTTTGAAGTCTGTCGGCTTGATGAACAACAACTTCTGCGGCTTGGCTTCGGCCCTGATAGCAATCTTCATCTCCTTGAACTTATGCTTCTTCTTTCGCATCTCCATGAACATGTCAAACCTCTCCACCTTCTTAACCCCTTTCATCTCATTGCGCTTGGCAACCGCCTCCTCCTTCTTCACCAACACGGCCTTGAACTTCTCCGTCATCTTGGTCGCCACCCCTTCTCGCTTTTCCTTCTCTGTCTTCCACTACCTAGCCACATGGGTGGCCGGTGCGACCCCTCGTTTTGTTGGATCACCATCTTCATCATCTTCTTTGGCGATGGTCTTGGCGGAATTGACAATGTGTTTCCCGGTTGCTTTGCTCACCAACAATGAATCATGTGCACTTTACCAAAAAAGTTGTGTCATTTTGCTCCGTGCCATGAAACAGATCCCCCGTAGATCAACTCATCCTCCTTGTTCAAGTAGGTGGTTCCCCACTTCTTCTTTGTGTTGGCGCTGGCGGCCAATGGTTGTCCGACTCAAAGTCCTGCTGCCTGGTGTACGCCTACTGGCTGTCAGGCAGTTGGGTATACGGCTACAGATCTTGCTCCGCCTGGGAGTCATCCACTTGTTCGTCTTCATAGCCTCGTCTGTTGTGGATAATGTTCATTATCGCATAATCCTTTGCCGTTGTCTTGCTTGGTTGAGGCATTCCAACAAATAGTGATCAGGCCCCACAGACGAGAGCTTCATAGAGGGAATATGTGCGGACGTAGCTGTTGAGGTCGACGATGAACGACACTCGATTAAAGGAGGCTGCAAACTGTTGCGGCAATTGCTGCGTGTCAGGCGTACCGAGGTGTTGGGCCGTGTAGAAGTAGGGTGTCTTACATTGGGCGGGCTAGGCATGTGATATACAGGGCGGCACCGGCCAGGCGGTGCGCTTTGGATAGCAAGCTACGACCTGACCGGCCACCGCCGTCTTCTCCGCCTTCGTCTTCCTCTTGAGGCTTCGGGGTGACGTTGAGCGGACGCAACCGTGCGGGCGTCATCCTTCGGGTTTGGGTCCTGACACCTGCGAGACAACGAACATCATCTTTGGCTTCTCGAGTGGCTCTATCATGGCAGCGCATGGTGGAATGAGGAGGAAGGTGATGGTGCTCTAAGCGGAGGGACCGGTCCGAACATTTTAGGTGAGCCACGTTGAATGGCTGAAAGTGTTGTTGGGGAACGTTGCAGAAAATTAAAATTTTTCCTACGGTTTCACCAAGATCCATCTATGAGTTCATCTAAGCAACGAGTCAAGGGAGAGAGTTTGCATCTACATACCACTTGTAGATCACGAGCGGAAGCTTTCCAAGGGGATGGTGATGATGGAGTCGTACTCGAACGTGATTCGGATCACCGATGTCCTAGTGCTGAACGGACAGCACCTCCGCGTTCAACACACGTACGGGACGGGAGACGTCTCCTCCGTCTTGATCCAGCAAGGAGGAAGGAGAGGTTGAGGAAGGCAGCTCCAACGGCAGCACGACGGCGTGGTGCAGTTGATGCGGCAGTATTCCGACAGAGCTTCGCCAAGCACGTACGGAGGAGGAGAGGTGTTGGGGAGGGGAGGGGCTGCGCCTTGGCTTGTGGTGTGTTGCAGCCCTCCCCTCACCCCTCTATATATAGGGGAAAGGGCAAGGGGGGCCGGCCCTCTAGGGAAAACCCTAGGGGGGGCGGCGGCCAAGGGGTGGGGGGCTTGCCCCCCAAGCAAGGGGGGTGCGCCCCCTTTAGGGTTTCCCTCCCAACCCTAGGCGCATGGGCCCAAGGGGGGGGGGCGCCAAGCCCACTAGGGGCTGGCTGCTATCCCTACGCAGCCCAAGTGGCCCCCCGGGAGGGGTGGTCCCTCCCGGTGGACCCCCGGAACCTTTCCGGTGGTCCCGGTACAATACCGGTATGACCCCGAAACTTTCCGGTGCCCGTTAAACAACTTCCCATATATAAAACTTTACCTCCGGACCATTCTGGAACTCCTCGTGACGTCCGGGATCTCATCCGGGACTCTGAACAACATTCGGTAATCACATACTTGTCTTCCTGATAACCCTAGCGTCACCGAACCTTAAGTGTGTAGACCCTACGGGTTCGGGAGACATGCAGACATGACCGAGACTCTCCGGTCAATAACCAACAGCGGGATCTGGATACCCATGTTGGCTCCCACATGCTCCTCGATGAAGTCATCGGATGAACCACGATGTCGAGGATTCGATCAAACCCCGTATACAATTCCCTTTGTCAATCGGTACGTTACTTGCCCGAGACTCGATCGTCGGTATCCCAATACCTTGTTCAGTCTCGTTACCGGCAAGTCACTTTACTTGTACCGTAATGCATGATCCCGCGGCCAACACCTTGGTCACCTTGAGCTCATTATGATGATGCATTACCGAGTGGGCCCAGAGATACCTCTCCGTCATACGGAGTGACAAATCCCAGTCTCGATCCGCATAAAACAATAGATACTTTCGGAGATACCTGTAGTGCACCTTTATAGTCACCCAGTTACGTTGTGACATTTGATACACCCAAAGCATTCCTACGGTATCCAGGAGTTACACGATCTCATGGTCGAAGGAAGAGATACTTGACATTGGAAAAGCTCTAGCAAACGAACTAACCGACCTTTGTGCTATGCTTAGGATTGGTTCTTGTCCATCACATCATTCTCCTAATGATGTGATCCCGTTATCAACGACATCCAATGTCCATAGCCAGGAAACCATGACTATCTGTTGATCACAACGAGCTAGTCAACTAGAGGCTCACTAGGGACATATTGTGGTCTATGTATTCACACGTGTATTATGATTTCCGGATAATACAGTTATAGCATGAATAAAAGACTATTATCATGAACAAAGAAATATAATAATAACACTTTTATTATTGCCTCTAGGGCATATTTCCAACAGTCTCCCACTTGCACTAGAGTCACTAATCTAGTTACATTGTGATGAATCGAACACCCATAGAGTTCTGGTGTTGATCATGTTTTGCTCGCGAGAGAGGTTTAGTCAATGGATCTGCGACATTCAGATCCGTATGTACTTTGCAAATTTCTATGTCTCCATCTTGAACATTTTCACGGATGGAGTTGAAACGACGCTTGATGTGCCT